AATAATATACATATCCGTGAGAGAGGACAATCACATCAATTATTTTTTTTTAAAAGAAAAAATTGAAATTATAATTATGGCATGCATTCGTGAATTAGATTTAGAAGTATTAAATAAAGAATACCATCATGTATAAGTAAACTCGTAAGTAATCAGTGTCCTTAATTATCATTCCACTCAAACACGTTTTCTAAAAAGAAACATTAATCCTAACTTTCCCTCCACAATTAAATCATTATTACTAATAAAAATTTAAATTTAGATTTAATAGAAACATTAATTCTCTGTAATAATTATGACTAATTATATTCAAATTAGTTCATTCACTTTATACTAGAAAAAAAAAATCATAAGTATTTAATTTAAAATATTCATTAATACGGAAGAAATCACTACGATCACTTTGACTCAATCTCCATTCCCATGATTTGATATTATACAATGTTGTTATATATTACATTTTAAAATTTTCATAATATTATTTATAATTTGTGAATGAAATTACGTACATTCTTTCAAATCTTATTCAATGCATAATGATTTTTAGTTCGTTTAATTCTCCTAAGAATAATTATAATTCATGCTTTAGAATGGGCATCTCGATATGTGATTATTTGATCAACCTAATATTTTTTATATTCATCATAAAAATTTAAAAAAAGTTGAAAAAGAAGATGAATTTCTTCTTGACATTCATCACACATCCGGCACAAGAAACCTAAGGGACACACTTTTCTATTTTGGTTGCTTTTAATCAATATAATGTTCCTCCTCAAACTTCCATAAAAAAATTGTCTTTACAATAATTACTCAATATTAAAATATCAATGATTTTTTAACAAATTTTATCGAGTTAGATTTTGGATATTTAATGTAATTTTAATACACAAATATTATTAAAAAATACTTATCTTGTAAAATACCACACTATCTTATTTGATGTAAATGGTATACCAAGTGTATAAATTTAATTTGTATATTTCAATACTCATTAATAATTGATTCAATAATTCGATGTTTTATATTGGAAGATTTTGATAAACTGAATATATCACCGTAAACGTATATAGGCTTATAAATTTAAAATGAAGATGTTCTCTATGACATAGATGATGGACGGAATGAATTATCGGGGACAATGATAGAGGAAGGATTTGAAGATAATGTCTTTTAGGATACAAACTGAAGAGAGAGTGGATTATCAAGGATGATGACTAGGGAAGGGTTCAATGAAAATGTTTTATATGGCATAGACGATGGAGGAAGTGGAGATGATGGTACAGGAAGAGCTTCGAAGGAAGGTTGATGATCGGGGAACAATAATGGAGGAAGGATTTCAAACGAACGTGCTCTCTATGGCACACTCAATGGATAGAGTTGATAATCGATGACGATGGTAAAACAAGGATTTTAAAAGAATGTATTCTCTAAAGTCTCAAAAGAAAGTGGATAATCGAGGACGATGAAGGATCCAAGAATAGTAGTAGATGAAGGATTTTGACAAAAAGAGTGGAGTATAAGAGAAAAAGAAAAATAAAGATAATGATTTTAGGGGATGAATGATTTTTATTTTATATAAGTTCATAGAGATGTTACGTGTTAATGACATGATATCTACATACACATATAAAGGAAATACATGCGATTAATAATGACAACGTTAATGTGTAATAATAATTTTGGTACAATTTAAATATTTTAATACGAGGTATAAATGTTAGTTTTTATAAACTCAGCTTCAATAGTTGAGTGAAAAAGAATTTTAATTTTAAGAAAGAAAGATTAGGGGTAAGTACTATTTTTTTAATAAAAAAAGAAATAAATATAAGGAATAAATTTATCCCAAAAAAAAATAATAATAGAGATAAAAAAGGAAATTATTATTAAGGTAAAAAATTATAATTTTTCAATAAAAATAGTTTTTCAAATTTAAGAAAAATATTTTTATAATTTAGAGAAAATCTGTATTTAAATAATTTAAATTTCGTCATTCTCAATTCTTAACGGACTTAATCCTCAATTAATATAAAAAATAAAAAAAAAACCCGCGTACTCTCCGGTTGGTTTCTTCGCACGTTCGAAGCAAAACTCTTCTCTCTCTCTCTCTCTCTCTCTCTCTCTCTCTCTCTCTCTACCTGCGAAGCAAACAAGTTCTCCTGTTCAAAGCCTTTAAACACCATTGAAGAAATCTCAATATTCTACTGTGTTAATCCCGAGGCCAGTTACATCCAGCAAATCAGAGAGCAAAGAGATTAGGGAAAGATGAATATCTTCAACAAGAAATCCAATCCTAAAGGTATTGTTTAGTGCCCTAATTCTCCTGCAATTCACCTTATTATCCATTCTTCTCTCTATCAACATAACACCTTACAGGAGATTTTTCTTATATTCGGATTATTCTTCTGGTTAAATTACAGAGGCTCTTCGTGAGAGTAAGAGAGAAATGGCAAATGCTACAAGAGGTACTTTTCATTTCTACCGGCCTAATTTACGTCTCAGAAATTCAACTGGAAATTATGATAACTTGATTATGTATGATCATTAGGAGTATGATTACTTATAGTCATTATATGTGCCTTTCTTGGTCAAACTAGGTTGTGCTCCTGAGGATTGTTTTCGCACTTCGTAAAGTAAACAAAAATTAAAAGAACGAAATCGTAGTTCACGAACTAGTGCATGCTTTGGCCTATTGCAGTTGAAGATTATGTTGATTTGTATTCACTAATTCATAATATATTATTAATATTTTAAATACTCCAACTAAGACTTAAAACAACTAAAAATACAAAAATTGATCATTCTCGAAAGCAAAGAAAAACAAAGCAGTTAGTATATTTATTTTTGCATGCCACGCTTGTTTTTTTATCATATCAATTTTCTTTGATGGAAGGAATAGACAAAATATATAATAATTTTCAAATTCGGGTATTTTCTGCTCAGTTAAAAAGCAGAATAATTTTGATATAATATATCAAACTCAGATATATGATATAATTTAACTTTTCTCTTTTATGTTTATTTTAGTTGCAAGTTGAGTCTTAATTACTTTATTAACTTTTGTGAGTTATCCATTTGGGTTTTGTGATTTAACTTAGTTTTATGTTGAGATTTATCATGTAAAGGTGGATAAATGTATGCAACCTCTGAACCATGTGCTTCAAGGATATACATTTATGTATATTTCTTTAAGCTGAATTTTGCATCATTTGGTGGGTATGTTTAATTATCTGGACTTGGAACTAGAGGGTTTAAAATCATACAACTGAAAAGAAAAAAAGGCATAAAGCAAACCGGGATGGAAGAACTAGGTATAAGGGTTAAAGCTGCTATCGTGCATCTTAAGTGGCATTTGCAAGTGGAGTATGGGTAATGTGATGATTGGATAGAAAGAACTTTGATATGTTTATTCTTCTGATATTTATGCTCCAATCTGTTAGAGCCAATCACTGGAAATTGCCCCAAGATAAAATTGTCAGCTTAGTTTGATGCTCACCTCTATCCTCTATAATGATCAACAACTCGGACATTCCTACTCCAAGCATATGAAACATGAGATTTTGTTATCTCAGTTTGCTTGGTAAATACGAGAAAGGACATTTTCATCCAATTTATTCCACCCAGTATTTATGTGATTTTTTGCTTCCGGTACCAGACACTTTCAACTCTGGCTATCAGAAACAACACCTCCTCTAAAGTGAATACTCTTTAATTGAGTACTCCTGACCTCAATAATGGAATGAAAATGGCATGAGGCATTTCACCATCGGCCCCTGACAGTCCTGAAGGTATCTTGTAGGAATTGTATTCATCAAGGTTTTAGAATTATATTCTAATGGAGTGAACATGACTTTTCTCACCGAGCTATGCTGGTGGACAAACATATAGAGACTATTCCTTGATTATATGCCCCATATTATTTTTTTAACAAAGATTGGAACTGGTCAATGATGCGTGCAAGCTTGGAGACTGGCCCTTCCCTGCTATTGCTGTCTAAAACTCTTTTGGATAACTATCATCACCTTTTATAAAATGTTCTCTTGTGTGGTAGAATGATATTATAACTTCCCCTATGAGTGTTCGTTTTATGTTTGCTGCTTGTATTGTCCCATTTGATTTAGATTACCTGTGCAAGAGGGTTGAAACACAATATTGAAGGTGAACAGTAACTGTTAGTTATTGCTTTCTTCTGTAAATATCCTTATAGTGTTGGCTGTGTCATTGAATTTTGGGTTTCAACCAATTTTTTAATACTGACATTGAGATTTTTGCCGTATTTCTGCCATGCTTCAGGTATAGAGAAGGAAATTGGGGCACTGCAATTGGAAGTATGGAAATAGTCTTGGTACTAATCTTTGTTGGTTTTCTTTCCTGAATTTAATACGATTTATCACCATCACAGGAAAAAAAGCTGGTTGCTGAGATTAAGAAAACTGCAAAAACAGGAAATGAGGTATTTAATTTAATTGGATTAGATTCTTGTCAATTGTCAGAGATAAGTCTGTAGAGTTACATTCACCAAAACCTTCCTCATAACACCTTTCTTGAATACTTGTCCATGCATTTTGAAGGCAGCAACTAAAATTTTGGCTCGGCAACTAATCAGGCTAAGGCAACAAATAGCAAATTTACAAGGTAGTCGAGCTCAAATGAGGGGCATAGCTACTCATACGCAGGTGAGCTCCAAAGGTTTCAGTCCTATATGTGTTATGCATTTGCTTGAGTTTCACATAATGTTTTATTGCATGTGTATCTTTGGAGATTAAGCTATTTCATCTACTTTTGCAGGCAATGTACGCCCAATCTTCAGTTGCTGTTGGCTTGAAAGGTGCCAGTAAGGCAATGTCAGGTATCAATAAGGTCAGTGGTGTTTGCTTGCTTGTAGCCTTGCATATGTGAATTAGTAATATTCACCTTTCTCTTCTGTGGTATGCGGTGAAATCATAGGTCCCTATCCCTAACAGGAAAGGGACATGTCTCATTATGTTGTTCACTACCAATTTGGCCATTCCTTCCAACACTATACACATACACCGATGGCTGGAGGTCCAGAGATGGGAATTGAGGATGAGGAGAAAGAAATACAATTTAGGAATTAGGAAAGAAGGGTAACATTATGTTTTGCTTTTTGGTTACTTCAGACCAATCAGAGTTAGAATTGACAAATCAGACAAATTAATGGAAGAAATAAAATTGAGATAGCATATGTTTTAGATATAAACTCATTACTCAATTGATATTCTGTGTCTGATTGAAAATATCGAGTAGAATTTTATATCTAAAACAAGTAACTCATTATGAATTAGCAAGTGCATAAGATGTTTTCACATATTTTTTCTTTAAAAATTTTCATATGTTTGTTATTACATTCTTCAAAGAATTTCACCTTCTCCATTCCTGCTCTTTCCCTGATTCAACAACTGGTATTGTGCACGAAATGGCCCCGGCAAAACAAGCAAAGGTTATAAGGGAGTTTCAGAAGCAGTCAGCACAGATGGACATGACTGTGAGATTATCCCTCAAATTTTTGAAGCCCTGAGAATGAAAGAATTTCATTTTCTCTTATTATCTATCAATCAAGCTCAGTGCTTTTCTCTTATTCTTGCAGACTGAAATGATGTCAGATGCCATAGACGATGCCCTGGATGATGATGAAGCTGAAGATGAGACTGAAGAGCTGACGAATCAGGTTGGCTTTTATAAAGCTATTATATTTAGTCATTCGGTGTGGAAGTTTTTCTTCCTAGTCAGCGTTTGGTGTTTTGTAGCCAATAGTCTCTTTAATTATCAAGGTGCAGCAACGTTTACTTACTAATTATATGAAATTTGTAACACTGTTGTGCACCGACAATTTTTCCCTCATAATTGCTTGATTATACAAAATTTTCACTAATCAGTTATCTGGTATTCTGATATCACACCGGAACGGAGGAAGAATATCAGTGCTGATGTATAAATAAATGATGCAAGCTGATTAAAAGGATATAATTATATTTTTGTCTTTTGTAACATAACTTGTCTACTGACTTCTAAAATATATGAAATGGGAGCTTCTTCTTCACTTTTTCACTCTTTTTTTCTTTTGGACAGGTGTTAGATGAAATTGGTGTTGACGTTGCTTCACAGGTTGGTATTAGATGTAATCTTTTTGTCAATTTTTGTTGTCAATCAAATGTATGTTCTCCTCCCTTTAACTGATTTAAGTCATGCCTGTATCTTGGCAGTTGTCCACAGCTCCAAAAGGTAAAATTGCTGGGAAGAAAGCCGAGGATGTCAGCAGGTATATTTCTTTCTTGAATCTGTCTTTGTGGTGTAATGCCCTTGCGTATTGAATCAATATGTTATGTCTAGGTTGATCTCTGATATTTTCTGAGGTACTGTTATTATCTTATATTCAGCTCCTTCCTGGGATTTTCTTCCAATGAAACCTTTCTAATTTCAAATTATATAATTGTTTGCTCAACTGTGTAGAATCAAATTCTTGGTCATTTTATTGTGCTCAATTCTAACCTCTTGCAGTTCGGGCATTGATGACCTTGAGAAGCGATTGGCAGCTCTGCGAAGTGCTTGAGCTGAAGATCAAAACCAGAAAATATATTCACCAACTGATGTTTCATGTTTGGAGCTACAAGTTGGAGGATGTAGATATTTCCTTCCCCATCCATATCTTCCAATGATGTTACTTGTTTGTATGTAATTATCATCCAGAGACTGTTTCATTGGATTGGTTTTTATATTGTGCATAGTTATGTTGCAAGTGACGATGTCCAACAATTGAGAAGAGGGAAATTTTTTCTGGCCTGGTTTAACATAACCCAGGTGACATGCACACTCCCGTTATGTGGAGGTTCATAAAAATGGTCATCCAGTGGAATCCATTTTTTCTTCATTACTTACAGACCCTCTTAATTATGGTGGTTATTTCTTTAAGAAATTCTTCGACATGGATATCCCCCATTTACCTTCTACTGGCTCCTTGAAGGAATTAATTTCATTGATCACAGTGATAGGAGGTTAGAAGTTAGTCATACTTTTCCCTTTTCATTAATCGTAAGTTCATGCGTACTATAGTAATTTAACTATATGGGCGTATTTTTTTCTTCGGGTGAAAGAATCATATAAGAATTAATAAGACAGATTTGCAGCTATAACAAATATTTGAAGTTTGACCCTTTTTTTATTGGGTGCTATTTTTCTTTTATCATTTAAGGGGAAAAAGCCGTATCCTTATATGCTAAAACAATGCTGAAATTGAGAAATAGATGCTCAGTATTTTCCGACGATGCCCAGTTAAAAGTGGAAACGATTAAGTTGAAGTTACTTAACCATCACATATTCAACATAAACCCACTGTTGGATGATGTAAATTTTAAAGGAAATGAAGGGCTTTTGATAGGCGAACTACATTAGGCCTTCACTTCACACAAATATGGATATTGGATTCATTTTTGCGGTACTAGATGGACAAATAAACAGAATTTATTACAGCTGTTTAAGTCTTCATATATGAAAATTCCAATACACGAACTCGCTCATGGATGTGTTCATAACATGTTACAACGGCCAGAAAATATTTGGGGAAGAAAATGGAATAGGAAAGAATTGAGACAGTTTGCTGTAGGGAAGCAAAATGACCTGTAATGCCGTTGGTTGGTGATATCCCATATACAGAAGTGAGAGAATTCGGAATCTATGATAGCTCCCCACTTTGAAGAGTTTTTCCAAAGTAGATGCATCATGCATTGGCAATCATCTTACAAACATCATACTTCCCCTCATTTTCGGATTGAGAGAAGCTCAAAGCTCCTAAGAGCATCTTCACGAGGGCCTCTGGAAGCTGCAGCACGAGAAAAGCTTGTTTTTGACTCATAACCAGGTTGGGATGATCTCTGCGTTGTAGATGGGCGGCCTCCACCACTGCTCGAAACTAATCGGCTTGAGGCCCGGCTATCACCTGGTTCACCAGAGGAACTTGGCCTACTGCTAGAAACAATTGCTTTTCTTGAAGCACTTCCATATCTAGAAGAGCTGCGACCTTTTTCTGAATCATGCTGACAGAGACGAAACAAAATAGTCCTTGTAAGAACAAATTAAGTGCATATGGTTATGAATGCTACCAGATGTTACCAGTTATCAGTACATGTTTTAATTCACTCTGACATCATTGTCATCAATATTAGTAAGTGGAATCACAGCAATTAAAAAACTGAAACAAAAAAAAAATGCTTGGGCTGGATTTGAGAATAAAAATGATCTCATAAAGGCAGGATCAGACGAATCCTAGTCAATTGCATTTATAGAGCTGTGATTAATTTATCACAAAAATTTATCTTTTTGTGTTAAGTGTTTCTATGTGCAAATACATACCACATGTTTGGATGAAGGTCCATCTTCTGAGCTCCTGTGTTTGGAATAATCACGTGGACTAGTGCCTGAAACATTTCTTCTGGAAAATGCTTCAACTGCCCCAGAGAACCTGTCCCGTATCTCTTTCCCAACTGAATGAAAGTATATTACAAGTTAAATTAGATAGTCAATGAAAGAAAAAACCAAACAAATGGAATTCTATTAAATAACCTAATGTCCTGTCCTAATCAAACAGTTAAATGAATCTTGATTTAATTGGGAAGATACAATTGCAATCCAATCTATAAATCCAAGCCTTGCACTCAAATCTATCCGATCCAATTTCAGAAAAAGAAAACAGACATCAACAGTGGTGCGTATACATATAGACATATACATGTATATACAAAAAGCAGTTAAAGTGATAACATGCTCGGCAACCAACTTCAACATCCAGCATCTTTTAGGAGATCAGACCTGAAAACCTCTCTTGTTTTTCAGCAGCTGGACCTGTTAATCCTTGTTTCCCAGTGTGATGCTGAAACTCAGACAAAAACTGGAGTAAGTAATGTTCTTGAGGTGATAGAAGTTCAACTAAGAAGCTTTGCAAGAACTAACCCGTGCTCTGGAACTGGAACCAATTTGAGGGTACTTCAACACAGTCCAGTCAAAGACATAATCAAACTGATAACCTACAAGGAACAAATGTGAAAATCAAAGAAGTTAAAATTGGAAGAACTGACCTTATATAAATCAAAAAAGTTTATTAGTGTATTCACGTAACTGACGGAAGATTAGAATTAAAAGATGTAATATTAAGAAAGTCGGTTACCTTCTCGAATAAATAAGTCTCGGAAAAGCCTCTTCAGATATGAGTAATCCGGTTTATCCTCAAACCGCAATGATCGGCAGTAGTGAAAATATGACATAAACTCAGTTGGATATGATTTACATAACACCTGTTGAAGGTAAGATGATTCTGTCACTCAACCAGCAAAAATACGAGCAAGGCTTTACCATTCAATTTATGACTAACTCCTGTTAATCCAAATGGCACAAGAGTATAGCCGTATGCTGACATAGATATGGAAACTATTGGATAAAAATCCAAAACTTCTTCATCAACGATGAATGAAGAGTTATAATATTCAAGGTTGAGTCAGAAGTAACCATGGCCATGCTTTCATTTATGTCAAGCCGGGTGCTATCCTGTTAGCCACCTATGAAAAACACTGAACACTACAAGGATGAAGAAGCTGGTTACCGTACCTCTAAAGGAGTTGATACCTTCTTCTCGCTAATTTTATCATATTTTTGCTTTTTCGTTCCAGCCTTTAGTCCCTGCCAGGGTAGGCTGAAACAAAGAATGCATACTAGATGAATAGAGGAGAAAAATCATAATATTTTATGCATAAGAAATTGGATGAGATAATCATGTGGCTACTATACACTCAACCTTCCTCTCAGGAAATACATTAGGACATAACCAAGAGATTCCAAATCATCCCTTCGACTTTGTTCTGCCATAAAATTAAGACACAGTCACAACAAAAATAATGCAGAGAGAAACCTAAACATCTGATGTTTGATTTCTTGTTTCTGGTAGGAAATATATGAAGCAACAATATTACTTACCGACTCCAAGGTGAGTGTTGACACTAGCATACCGTGCAGTGCCAGTGAGGTTCTTGTTCTCCCTGCACCAGAAATCTAATGAGTTCCAATGACAAGCGAATCAAAGACCAACAGGTACTTGATAGAAATAGGGATGTGTGCATCATTACACCCTTGTCTCTGTGCATGCATGCACAACAAGCATCATAATATGATGTCTAAAACGCAAAGTTGCATAGATAATATGACAAGATGTACAGCATATAATATGACTAAAAAAAATTTAGCTTCGTGATTTCCATGTAGTTCTTGAGAAAATTAGACTCTAGAGATGTTAAATTCTTGCCGCAGCTGGCAACATATCCCTCAAAACCTCAGAGGTATCTTATATAGGGTAATATTTTAACATAAAGCCTTTCTAGAACATGCAATATCTAGACTACAAGTATATCACTATTTCTCTCTCTCCTTTGTATTATCAAACCTCCAAATTTAGAGAAAAGTACAATTTTAATCAAGTGGCAGAACAACATAGTGAGTTGTCTTAACTTGTAGATTTCAGAATGGTGGTCAACAGAGCAATATTTACCTGTATGGTATGTGCTTATGTGTCTGAAGATCTCTATACTTCTTAGCAAGACCATAGTCAATGATGTACACCTGAGGCAAACAAAAGGCAGCAAACATAAGAGATGATACCAAAGAGAGCCAGATTTTTGGTATTTCTCAAAGACAAGATACATTGGATATGCTCCAATACCACACAAATATCACTAGTGGCGATGAAAGCATATTTAATTTCCATGTCAGAGGTATTTAAATGGAAATAGTTTCACAGCTTCAAAAGACTTAAATTTCTACTCAAAGAGCATTAACTTTATAATGAAAGTGGATATATGAATGTACAGAAGAGTGTGATGACAACCAAAACAACATAGAACATTAAACCCCCAGAAGATCAATCAGGTACAAATTATCTTTCTAAGCTTGAAGAGCAGGGTGCTTAAAGAGCAGGAAACAATGTTGAAACATCTTAACCCTAGCAAAAAGATAAATATGATCCAGACATTAAGAATTTTAATTGGAAAAGATCTATGATCTAATCCATACACACTTGTCAGTTCTGAATTCTTCAAAAAACATAAAAACGCAAACAAAATTTATGCAAATAAGTAGATTAAAGGAAAAGAAAGAAAAATCCTGCATACATACATGAGTAGAGAAAAAAAGGAAGGGAAACCCTGCATGCACCTTAAGTTCTGTTAAGAACCATTAATAATTAGTTTTATATATAGTTAAGTGTAACTAGTATAATAAAAGAGTCGGTACATTAGGTATTAAATATTGATGGTTATTAAGATAAGAATTAGTAAAAAAAATGTCAATGGTTATTAAGATAAGAATAAGTGAAAGAAATGACAATGAGGTAATTACTATTCTGGATAAGGTAGTTATTTTCCAGAATAACTACCCTTCCTCTTGTAATAAAATCAAAATTTCTGTCTTTGAGACAGATTATGGATGAAGAAAAACTTATCAAGTTTTTTAGTATCTCTCTTATTCCAGAGATTGACAGATTCTCTCTTAGAGAACCCATGCTTAGAGCAAGATAGGTAAAAAATGGAAGACATACAGTATCAGAAAATTCCTACTCATTTTCAGGTTCATTGCCAAGGACCATAACAAGTTCCTTTACTAAGATTCCAAGCAATACCAACAACATGAACCAAAAACCACAAAGAGGCTCATTCTCAAGCCAATAATCCTTGAAATAAATCTGTAGTTTGTCTTCTAGTTGTACCACAGAAGACCTTTTAACAACATGGACTGACTGACAATTTTTATATTCATAATACCGGGTAAACATCCTTATTTATTATAATCAGCAGATAAGCAGATGAATTGCATGGAATAATTACCTGATTAGCTTTTCGTCCCAGGCCCATTAAAAAGTTGTCAGGCTTTATGTCACGGTGAAGAAAACCTCTTGAGTGCATGTACTCAACCCTGTTAATCTGAATAGAGATAAATAGATAAAACATTATTCTCTCTTCACCTGGCAGTTTTAGTAGAGAGAAGAGTCATATGTATTTACCAGTTGATCTGCAAGCATTAGCACTGTTTTCAACGAGAACTTCCGATTGCAGTAGTTAAACAGATCCTCCAAACTTGGTCCAAGAAGGTCGATAACCATGACATTGTAGTCTCCCTCAACCCCAAACCACTTGAGGTGAGGAATTCCAGCTATATCCAGAAAACCAAACAATTTCTTTGTGTAATGTAAATATTAATACATGAATAATTTAAATATGCTGGAGGCAAAAAAAAGATTGCCTTCAATGCACCATAGAATTTTTGCTTATTGCATAGCATAAGGTGTAGCAAACAAGAAAATTTCTACTTCTGGAGTTCTAACAAAAGAGACTTACTTCCTCCTTGAAGAAGCATATACAACTTTGACTCATAGTGAAGCTGAGGATGCTTAGTCTTCACAGATTCCTGAACAGTAGAAAAAGAAGTTAGTTTGGAAGAAAAAAACAAGGGAAAAGAGAGCCAGCATATCATGAATAAGACACAGCATCATTCCACAACTGTAGAAACTGAAGACTTATTTAACAATAAGTACCATCAAGCAACAATGCAATAGGAAGCAACAAGAGGTTGACAAATTATCATGCATGGGAAGCATGAGGAACTTTTGATAGAAGCTTTTTTCTCTTTGAGAAGGATGAACTATTGATAGGTTTTGAGTGAAAAGCATCGGTAAAAGCAAGTGCTGAACTCTGATAATGCTTTTACAAATATTTAAGAACCCTAAAAAAAATCATGATTACATGTTCATAGCCCGATCCAAGAGCCTTTTCGGTAAGCAGTCCAAAAACAAGCTTCTAAAAAACAAATCCAATATAATTAGAGGAGACAATCCCACAACAACCGAATGGAACACGTTTCCTAAATCCTTCTAACAAAGAACAAGCATATGATGTATATTTACCAGCTTAACAGCAACTTCCTCTCCAGTTTGCACATTTACACCTGAAACAATCAAAAAGAGGGAAAATAAAAACTTCTTACAAAAAGAGAATGAAACAGAGAAGAGACGCTGCTGAAAAAGAGACTGATATGCAAAGGAAATACGGCATCCAAGCATTGATGATAATTACCTAAATAGAGCTCCCCAAAAGAGCCACTCCCTATCTTCCTTCCGAGCTTAAACTTGCCACCGATCACATGATCCATTTTCAAGCTCTCTTCAAAACCTACCCCCAAAAGAGCTCAATATCGCTACGATTTCACACCAGATTTATGCCAAAAAGCACTTATTGCCGCATAATCTCATCCCCACCCAGCCAATGACCCTCACAAAAGAAAAGATTAACAAAATTTACCCACCAAATTTCGAAGTTTTCAATTATACCTCAAATCAACCACTGAATATCAAAATCTAATAATTAAATCAGAAAAATAGAACCCCTAAAAAAAAAAAATCCTGAAATCACAAAATCATCGAAATTCTAAAGCCAGTAACACCAGCGCATCCCACTACATCCTCCGATACGCAAATCCCCAAATCTTCATAATCGAGAATACAAGGCGCAAATGAAAACCCTAATCTGGGAGAAATCAAACTGCATTGACCAGAAAAAGATCGAGACGGAGGGTAGAATTTTAAAGTCAACAAACGAAAGAACGAAAAACTACATTTCATTTCTCAGAGGAGATGAATCGAATACAGAAGGATCCATGCAAGCCTAATTAAAAACAAGAAAATGAGTTGATTCGGCAAGAAATGAGAGAGAAAAAGAGAGAGAGAGAGAGAGAGAGAGAGAGAGAGAAGAGGAGGAGGAGGAGGAGGAGAAAGGGGAAAGGGAGGAAGGAGGAGATTATAGTTGTTTTTTTTTTAAATTAAATAAAAAATAAAAAAATAAAAAAATAAACAGGAATTGAGGGGCTAAGCGACTCCGTCTCTGTCTGCCGCCTAACCTAACACGTTTGGGCTGTTTCACACACAACCCCAACCCCCCTTCCCCCCTTTTGCTTTTGTCAAACGCTCAAAAAAAAAAAAAAAAAAACTCAGGGTTGAATTTCTGGTCCTAAGTTTGACCTCATCCACGTGGAAATTACATCAATTCCTTAATTATTAATAATTTACGGTCCTAAGGTGTAAGTAAATCTTATATATTTTTTTTTTTAAAAAAAAAAATCTAAAACATATTAAAATGAAATAATTATTATTAGTATTTACTTTTTATTTGGTGCGTGTGATATTTGATGAGAGCAAATTTTGTGAGCCGTTGATGGAGGGTTGGCCACAAAATGTGTTTGTGATTTTCAGCCGGTGATCATTGATCGATCGCAGGTGGGGCCTACTTCAGGGTACCAGCTGAAGAGACAATTTGTGCCTTGCTCATCATGCAAAACACAGTACGGAAACTCATTATCAGACTCAGAGAATCCTAAGCTCAATAATAACATAATCAATAGTAGAAATATACTTAATTTTAAACTAAATATTTAAATTTAAAATACTTTATGAGTAGAAAAATACAGTATGGTTATTTAGTTTCAGTTATATTTCCGTCGGCCCAGCCCAAACCATGAACTTCGGACGACCAATTTTAAAAGTCAAAAATTAATTAAATCGAAATAACTCCAAAATTTTAATTATATACGATCAATTATTCACTATATATATATATGTACATATATTATGGGTAGGGTATGCTATCTGGGGAATTATGGGAGGTCCAAGAAGAAGCAGTTAACAAGCTAGTATTCTTCCACCCAAGTTTCAGACTCCCATCACCCTGTACAAGTGAATACCCATAAGCTGGAGAATACATGTTTAGAATCAGCTGAGCCTGCGCCATGGAATTACTACTCATCGGAACCTGCACAAAACAATTGCTCGCCATTAATTCACTCCTCCAGTTCCTCAGCTTATCTTCCCCGCTCCTCGCCGGTCCCCCAATCGCCAATATGTTGTTGATTTCTCTGTAAAGCAAGCAATGCTCCACCTTATGCCTGCTCGGATCATCGAAGTCCAAGCAGGCTCCAAGCGAGTCAAAAATGGTGGAGTAGTAATGGAGACAACCCACGAACCGGTCCAAGAACGACCCGCCGGCACCATGAGACGTTTCTTGCTCCACCAAGGTGATAACTCTCGGCGCCAACTTTTGAAGAAGCCTCAGTGCCTTCCATTCCGGCCCTGTTGCATCGTATAAGGAATGTTGTAGCCAGTGGACTGCAAGCGTGTCGTCACTCTTGAGTTTCAGGACAGAGATGTCGTCGATCTCTCCGAACTTTCTGTCAACTGGGTTAAACTCGAATGGGAGGCCGAGGCGTTTGGCGAAGTTGGAGAGTTGTTTTCCTGTCTCGAGGAGAACTTCCATGGAAGCTCCCATGGCGGTCATGGTGAGATGTGGGGGACCTTCAATGCGAGTGGAGAGGATGTGGAACAAGGCTGGCCATTGGAGGCCGTGTATGATGTCGAGGTCGATGATGTGAACTCTGTCTCGGCAGTGGAATGCTTCGAGGATGGCTTGGTTGGAGGTGAAGTGGGCGAACTTGATGAAGGGGGAGATGTTGTTGAAGACTTGGAAGGCGGATTGAATAGAGTTGTGGTTGATGAGAGGAGCGCAAATGCCGAGCCACGAGTTGATTACTCTGCTGGACATGGCCTTGGCGAAATAAGCCACGACTCGTTCTGCGCAGGATGGGGAGTAAGGAGAGGCCATCTGGGTTAGCTCCAGCAACAGCCTGTGAGCTTCGCTGAGATTGTCAACTGATATTGCAACAGCACATTCTAAAAGATGGGTAAGCAGACTCAGACCTTCTTCGTCCCCCGTTAAGCTATTCAACCCTTTATTACCAGTAGTTAGACTAGTACAACTAGCAGCAGCAGCAGCAGTTGCTCCATTTTCACGAAAGTTTGAAGCTTGATCGTCGAGCCTATTGCTCCAGCTGTGAATACTTGCCTGAGACGCCATTGTTGTGACAGCTTGGAAGCTGCAGGTATGATGGTCAGTGGGGGTGTCGGCCGGCAAGTCATCGTTAATGAGGTGTTTGGTGGCATGTTCGACCCAGTCAGACAAATAGTCCGGCCTGATCTCCATATTGTTAAAGCAGAGATTCTCAAGAACCAGCGGCTTTGGGAAGATGATGGAGGTTGAGGGTGGAGGTGGGATTAGTCCAATATTAACGCTGGGAGAGTAGTCCCACGGCTCATGGATGTCTAAAGCTCCATGAACCACCTCAAATGCTCCTTTCATCATTGAAACTACACAACCAAACAAGGCCCCAGGTAGATTAAGAAATTAAGAGATATTTATTTGGTGGGTGCAGGAGAGGGTGTTAAGGAGAGGGGAAAGAGCGTATTTAAAGGCAGTTACATATATATATATATATATAAAAATATAATTTATTTGGGTACGAAATGAAGATGAAGTTCGGAGGCCGGCAATGGCAGAGCTAAGACATATAGAAGGAGATAAGGTGGAAGCAGCCAATATAAACACGTCGGGTGGTAGTGATTTTGCGATATTTAAGTGTTGAAGTCAATTAAGAGAGTCTTGCAACATCAGGAG